GCCAGCGGGGAAGCCTGGCAGCGGCCGCTCCGCCCTGTGTGCCCGCGGCGGGTGCACACGCTTTCTAGGGTGAAGGGGGTGCGGGTGTGTGCTGTCCTGGGCACCTGTGTGAGGCGCTGCAGTGCATGTGTGTCCTCCGCAGACCCAAGGCAGGAGTGTGTGTTGGCGGGGGTGTGGGCTCTGGGTGTGCATGGTCCATCCTGGGCCGGAGGAGTTCCTTTCTTACCTCCAAGCATTCCAGACACCAGCAGGAACACAGCCTGCTATGGGACCCTGAGGAGGAAGGGCAGCCAGGCTTCGAGGATGGACATGGCCCCTGGTTTGCTAACAGAGGCACAGCTGGCAGACTGAGGGCGGTGGAGGAAACCAGGCTTGTCCTGCCCACAGCTGGTGTGGAAGGTGCCAGAACATCCGGAGGGTGGCCTGAGGAATGTGGCCCAGAGAGCACGGCCTGGTGCCTGCCCCCGCCCCTTAACCCCCGCAGTCAGAGGCGCTGGAGAGTACCGGAAGGCACCCAGTGGGGAAGGGGAAGCCTTCTGGAGGCCTGGGGCCCCACTGGAGGGGCAGGCTGCGTGGAGGAGCCAGCACCCGCTCAGGGAGGGTGGCTGGGAGGACTGGATGACCTCCAAGGCTGTGTGCTGGAGAAGCCACTCAGCAGCATACCCAGCCCTTGTGGGTGCTCCTGGGATGGCACCAGCCTCCTCCAACCCCGAGGCCTGATTCTCTCTTGCTCTCGGGGCAGGAGCCACCCACACTAGCTGGGCAGAGCTTTCACCCTGACCCTCCAGTGAGTGGGTGGGCCTCCACTACTTTCAAAGCTGTGTTTGGGCTCTAGGGCCACCTCTGTCCTTTCCATCCCCGTCCCTGCTCAGTGTAAACCCAGGAGACCTGATTCCTCCAGCGCTACCTCGGGGCTGACCAGGCTGGGGGTTCCGTGAGACTACTGACACTTTTTCACCCAGGGCTATGCCAACCATGTGGCTGTTTCCACACCACTCTCCTGCCTCCTCTCTGACCTGCGCCTGCGTGGGAGCCAGGGTGGGAACCGGGAGAAAGGGTGAGGCCTGCCGCCTCCCACCTGCATCACAGGTGGAAGCTCCTTTGCTCCAGGGATGCTCGGCCCTGGCTCTGTGCCAGGCCGCAGAGGGGCACTAAGTGTGACTATGCTCAGCCTCGGACAGGAGCATGGGTGGGGGTGGGTAAGCTGATGAGTCAGCAGGCAGTGAGGACAGGACGTGGCCCATGTCGGGGGTTGGAAGAGGTCTGGGTGGGGCACCCAAACCCAGCCGGTGGGGAAGGCTTTGGGGAGGTAGTGATGCTGTGCCAAGTTCTGGGAACTGGCACCAGGGGTGGCTGGGCAGGCACATGGGTCAGGCACGAGTCTGGCAGGGTCTCCTAGCTGCTAGTATAGGGTCTCCTAGCTGCTAGTATAGGATCCTGGGCTGCAGCAGAAAGCTTTAGGGTCACTCTCTTGTACACCTCATACTCAGTGCTTTACAGAAGGGGAAACTGAGGCGCACAGCAGTTAGATATCTTAGGGCACCAAGCCAGGGAAGGGAGAAGCCAAGTTTGAATACAGCAGCTTAGTCTAGAGCCCCCACACCCTGACCACTGCCCCATCTCCACTATGCCTGCAGAGAGGGGTGTGCTGGGGCTCCTGCCTGGTGTGGGGGTGCCAGCCTGGCTGGGAAGCAGCTGTTGGGGATACCTGGGGGCTCCTCTTGCCTGGCATGTGGCCCTGCTGCTGGCTTCCTGCTCCTCTCAGGCCTCCAGCAGCCTAGGGGTGGTTGAATGAGCGTCTTCCCGGGATGCAAGGGAGTTCTGAACTCTGATGCAGGGGTGTCAGGAGATAGCAGGCCATTAGTGGCCATCCCGGCTGAATTCCTCACTGTGCAGATGGGGAAGCGAGCTCAGGGAGGCTGAGTGTCCCAGGCCTGTTGCCAGATGAAGCCACGCTGAGACTGGAGGCCAGGGAAGGTGCAGCAAGCCTTGAGGCCCTCAAGAATGTGGCCAAACCAGGGCCCTGCTCGCCTGGCTCCAGAAGCTGTTTTGCTCAGAGATGGATTAGGAGGGTTGGCAAAGGGAGCTCTGGGTATGGCCTCAGGCCCTCCAGTACTTCTCTGGGCAGTTTGGGCTTTGGCCGTGAGTCCTCCAGTCCAGGTGTGCTCCATCCCCAACCTCCAACTCATCACCTCTCAGGCCCCAAACTAGGCCTGGGCTAGGCTGTCGCCTGACTCCTGGGGACTGACTCCATGGTCCCCAGGTCAGTGGTCCCCAACCTTTTTGGCATCAGGGACAGGTTTCATGTAAGACAATTTTTCCATGGATGGGGGTTGGGGGGATGGTTTTGGGACCAAATGTCCCACCTCAGATCATCAGGCATTAGATTCTCATAAGGAGTCCACAGCCTAGATCCCTCACATGCACAGTTCACAGTAGGGTTCATGTTCCTATGCGGATCTAATGCTGCTGCTGATCTGACAGGAGGCAGAGCTCAGGTGGGAATGCTCGCTTCCCACACTACCCTCCCCCACTGCCGCTCACCTCCTGCTGTGTGGCCTGGTTCCTAATAGGCTGCCCATCAGTACTGGTCCTTGGCCCAGGGTTTGGGGACTCCTGCCCTAAGTAGTAATAAGAGTGGACAGCTGTTATATGTAAATACTTGTTCCCCAGTGCTGGAAAGAAATAGCACTAGAACATAAATTTAATTCTCTCAACAAGGCAATTTTACTTTCTGCAGAAAGAGTGCTATCACAGATGGAACAATGGCAAAAGCACACCTGAACAAAGGAGGGAAGCAATGTTTAGCCCTTACGCAGTTTGTCCCTGCTACTGTGTCCTGTGTCCATTGGCTTGAGCCAGACCGCACAATCTAAACTAAAACCCGATTGGCTGTTTAAAACTTTTCTAAATAGGTAAAAGTAATGGAAGGATAAAGGAAAAGAGGAAGTTGCTTAAGAAAGGACTTAGAAAACTAATAATATTCCCAAATAAGGAAGGGGCCTAGGGTGCGAGCTGGGACATGCCTGCAAGCATGTCTATCACAGATATTTTGGTTAAAATACAAGGATGTAGAATGTACTATGTGCCTGTGAGCATGTCTAACAGTTACATAGGATAGGGCTTAACAAAGAGTTATTAGCATAAAGCAAGGAGGCTTGAAGGAAGTTCGTCTTTAAAATAAACTATTATTATTTTTTCTTTTTTATTATACTTTAAGTTCTAGAGTACATGTGCACAACGTGCAGGTTTGTTACATATGTATACATATGCCATATTGGTGTGCTGCACCCATTAACTCGTCATTTACATTAGATATATCTCCTAATGCTATCCTTCTCCCATCCCCCCACCTCAAAACAGGCCTGGGTGTGTGATGTTCCCCTTCCTGTGTCCAAGTGTTCTTATTGTTCAATTTCCACCTATGAGTGAGGACATGTGGCGTTTGGTTTTCTGTTCTTAGAAACTATTATTTCTAATGCTTATGATTTATTCTTTAACAAGAAGGGAAACTTGGAAGAGGAACTTTTACTTTCTACAACAGCTGACCTCTGCTGAGCGCTTACTGCATGCCACGCACTGCTCTGAAAGTTTAACATACCATTCACTTGTGTAATCCTCATATTAATGCACGTTTACTCACATGGAAGCTGAGTCCCAGGGCATTTGTCACTTACCAAATATCACACAGCCAAAATTTGAATTTGAGCCCAGGCAGTCCAGCTCTGGGACCCTGCTGTGGGCCTTCCTGCTGGGCATTGAAAGTCACCCCCACCCCACTGGGACACAAGTTCAGAGAAGGGCAGAGCTGGCTCCCTGTCCAGTGCTTCTTTCACTCCACCACCTACAGCTGGCCACTGAGGGAACATTCAGAAGTGACTCTGTCCCCAGGGACTCCGATCTTGCCTTAAAGTCCTCTAGGGCCTCTGGGGATGGGGCTGGTCTGGGCACAGCCTTCACCCTTACCCCCTCTAATCCAACCTCTAGTCAATAGCCAGGGTCAGATTCCCAGAGAGGGGCTGCCCTGCCCAGTGCCACACAGCTTAATTCTGGAGCTTCAGGGTCAATGCTGCAGGGGTGGCCCAGTGTCCAGGACTGTGTTCAAGGCATCAGCCAGAGGTTACAACACCCCAGGCCCTAGACTGAGCCAAGGGTCCCCATGTTTATACCTTAGACATGTTTGGGAGGTTCAAGGAAGCTGGAAACCGGGTTCCAGTCCTGGCTCTGTGCCTGAGTCTCATTGCAAAACAGAGGTCACCAGGATTATTGGATGAAAAATGAGGTAGCATTGCAGATGTGCGTGGCACGTACACTCCAGGTTGCTTCCTGGACAGAAAGCTCAATCCGAGGCTGGTGGCATCCATGCTGGCAGTAGCCAACTGTCTACAACAGAGTGAGGAGGGGCATGCCACGTGAAGGACCAGCATCAGAATGACCTGGGAAGAAACACAATAGCAGGAGAAAGAGCTCTTTCAGCCTAACATGTAGAACCCAAGTCTTCTTGTGCGGCATCTGTCCCCTCTCCCCTCCTCCCCCACTGAGAACGAGCTTTTACTGAGCACTTATTACACGCCAGCTACGTCAGGTGTGTCAGCTCATTTAATCTTGACAACAGCTCCATGAGACACCCTCAATATCACTGCCCCTGTTTTCCAGATGAAGGGACAGATTCTTAGGGCATTATGTAAGTGGTCCCCAGGACTTTAGAGGCAGGTTTGCACCAAGGCCCATTCTCCCAGAGCCAGATCCTTCTCCTTCCCTGGGATACTGCACCTCCACCCTGCCAGGCCACCCACGTAAAGGCAGTCAATTCAGAGCCACCTCTTATGCCTGCATCTCTCCCAACAATTCCTGCTGGGAAACCACTCCCCGTATGGTGTCATCTACACTGGTGGTTTTCAAGCTTGAGAAGAATCAAGTTCTACAGGGCTGCTTAAAACACAGGTTGCTGGGTCCTGTCTCTCAGAGTTTTTGACTCAGTCTTGGTTGACAATTTGCCGTTCTAGAAGCTCCTGGGTAATGCTAATGCTCCTGTTCTAGGGGCCATAGTCATTGTCCATACTGGTGCTATTCAATAGAAACATAATGTGAGCCAAACAGGTAATTTAAAATCTGCTAGTAGCCATGTTAAAAAAGTAAAACAGGTAAAATTAATTTTAATAATGTATTTTATTTAACTCAACATATTCAAAATATTATCATTTTAATAGGTGACCCATAGATCAATGACTTTTTTTTTTTGGGACAGGGTCTGGCTCTGTCACCCAGGCTGGAGTGCAGTGGTCCCATCACTGCTCACTGAAGCCTCAAACTCCCAGGCTCAAGTGATCCCTCCACCTCAGCCTCCTGAGTAGCTGAGACCACAGGCATATGCCACCACGTCGAGCCAGTTTTTTTTTTTTTTCATTTTTTTAGAGAAGGGGGTCTCCCTATGTTGCCCAGGCTGGTCTTGAACTACTGTTCTCAAGAGAGCTATTGCCTCCACCTCTCAAAGTGCTGGGATTACAGTTGTGAGCCACTGTGCCCGGTGACCTTTTTTTCCATTCTTTTTTTGTATTAATCTATGAGATCTGGTGTGTATCTTACACATAGCACATCTCAATTGGACTAGCCACATTTCAAGTACTGGATAGCCACATGTGGCCAATGGCTGCCACACTGAATAGCTTACTCCAGACCCTCCAGTGAAGGAGCAGGTGGTTGGCCACGTCTTCCAGGCAGCGCCTCCTGCTGGTGGCTGACAGGGCTGCCCACCCAGGAAAAGGGCCTTCAGCCATGGGACCTGAAGCCTTGGTGTGCAGCCTGTGTTCCCTTACCTGATCACAGGATAGCTGGGAGCATCAAATGAGGTGGTGATGGGACAGCTGTGTGCTTGGTGCCTATGGAGAGAGGAGACTGATGGCTCACAGGTGGGGACACAGACTGCTCTGGAAGTGCTACTCCTGGGGTAAGCCATGGTCATGTTGAGCCAGAGCTCAGTGGTGCTGCCCGATGTGTCAGAGAATATGTATGCCCACTCCTCTCCTTAGCTGTATTTGGAGAGGTTCACCCTGACCACTGCTCCCTGACGCTGCTCTACACCTGCTTTCTGTGGGCTTCCAGGCTGGCCTGGAGCTGTTCAGGACCAGGCTCTTCCATGAAGGAACTGTGACAGTAGGTAGTCAGGCAGACATGAGCAAGGCAGGAGAGGGCCCTCCTCCAACCAGGAATGTCAAGTGACCATCAGGTGATGGTCAGGCAGTTGATAAACTGCTTCTCTAAAATAACTGGTCGCAGCCAGTGCCAGGAAGAGGCAATCTCCCAACAGATAGAAACACCTGAAGCTGGTGATCGGCCTCCCGATATCTCAGGAGCTGGGCGAGTGGGCTCAAGCATGCACACTAAGGCAAAAGGGCAGCGATAAACTGGTAGATGACCTTCCTCTAGGAACACCGGTAAGGGAAAAACACCTCAAATGAGCGTGTGCATAACTTCAGTAAACACAGCTGTGCATTCGGCCCCTCCCAGGTGCTGACAGGCCACCGCGCACGCAGACAGCCCGCCCCAAGGGAGGACTCAGGGGAGAAGAGAGATGCAACCCCCCGGAAGCATGCCAGTCTACAAAACCCCGAGTCAAAGGTCAAGCCACGCACTTGACTCTCTCAAGTCACCTGCTTGGCCCTCTTCTAAGTATACTTTACTTCCTTTCATTCCTGCTCTAAAACTTTTAAATAAATTTTCACTCCTGCTCTAAAACTTGCCTCTCACTCTACCTTATGCCCCTCAGTAGAATTCTTTCTTCTGAGAAGGCAAGAACTTAGGCTGCTGCAGACCCATATGGATTCGCTGCTGCTAACAGAATCATTGTTCCAGGGGTCCAGAGAGACAAGGCAAGAGAAATTCCTCTCCAGACAGTGCGATGCATTGTGTAATCTCAGGGAGCCGTTCCACAAACTGGATACTAAATGTGGTGCGGTCACATTTCTTTTCTAGCTAACCACCCCAACCCACCTTCCAGCGCGCAGGAATCCACACCCTCCTTCTTGCAGCCTCATCCTCCCTCCAAACTGCCCCCAAGCCCTGGAGCTTTCACAGCCGACAGGGGACTTGGTGGCCCCATTCCACACCTCACCCCAGCAGGGCCAGCCTGAGTTACCCGGTGCGCCTGCGGCTGCTTGTCACCGCCGCCACACGGGGGCGCCGTGGCAAGCCAACTTCCCCGAGTCCAACTGGGAGGACGGGCCAGGCGTCGGGGGGATGGACGCCCTGCTGCCCACCTGTCCAGGCTGCAGTGGCCCCGGGGAGCAGAAATCCCGTCGCCTCCGTGCTGGGCACGGCTCTTAAGGCTTGGCCCTCTCCGTCGTCCCTCAGCCCACACCCCTAACAGCCATGTCCCAAGTCCCTGGCGGGGACTGTCCCTGACTGTACCTGGGAAAGCGGTACAAAGGTCCCCTTAGTTTTCCAACCCCCAACCTCTCCAGGACTGGCTCAAGCGTGGGGCAGGGGCATTGCCTCTTCTCAAAAACCCAGCACCAGCTACACTCCCTGGGCACCTCCCTCCAGCCCGGGGACCTTTACCTGGGCTAGGAGTGGGGCACACCTGGCCGTCCCCAGTCACGGCTTTCACGCTGGGTGGTCCCTCGGAATAGGAATTGGGAACTAAAACGCCCAGAGTTGGCCTCATCATCATACGGGATGGGTAAGGAGACGTGCGTTACGACAGAGGGGGAAGCCCTGATCATTATTTCGAAAATACCTTCTCCTCCGCTACCCTCGCCTCCCCGGCACACTTCCCGCTTTCCCTGGAGGGCGGACCCAGATTTTCATCCCTCCAACTCCTTCGGACCTGAGCCAGCCCCTCAGGTGGGGCTTCGCCTGGTCTGGGAAGGTCCGTAGGCGCATAAGTCTCTGGGAGAGCAGCCTCCGGCCACGCCGTGCGCACAGGCGTCCTTCGGTCCCGCAGGATCCTGCCACCAGCCCGTGGGCCCCGCTGGCGGACCACGGGCGCTAGATGCGGACTATCCGGGCGGAAGAGGCGCCCCGGGACAACTGGAGAACAACTTTGGGGGTCTGGGGTTCCAAGGAGAAGTTGGGGAACAGTCGGCGTCATGCGGACTTCTGCAGGCTGGGATGGGGCTTCCGGGCAGGTTTTGGGGAGAAAGGAAGGGGCCTAAGACCGCGCGCGGAAAGATGCCGTTATTTGGCGGCGCCGAAGTGGGCGGAGCCAGCCAGCAGGACTTCGCGCCGCCGCCGGGCCAGAGCGAGGGGGATCGGCGTTGCCAGGGACAACGCGTTCTGGGCGGAGCTGCTGCTGGGGCGGACCTGAGTCTGAGGAGGTGGGGGCGGAGCCTGGGGGGCTGAGCCAGAAGCGGAGTTGTGATTGGTGAAGACTACATGCTCGGGGCGGGGCCCGGGCTGGGGCCGTGTGGAGGTTGGGGCGGAGCTTTGGGGGGCGGGGCGGGGCGGGGGAGGGCCCCGAGCTCCGGAGCCGGAGGCGGAGACGTGGTTGGCGGGGACGGTGCGCCCTGGGAGGGGTCGGAGTCGGCGGGGGCGGAGCCGAGCGGGCGGGGAGGGTGCTGGGTCGCGCCGGGCCTGGGGCCGAGGCGGCGCGCGGCGCTGACAGCTGAGTCGGCTCGCGGCCTCCCGGCCCCCTCGGCGCCCGGCCCGACCCTGGCCTGGCTTGCCCCGGAGCCATGAGCCCCGGGCTGCTGCTGCTCGGCAGCGCCGTCCTGCTCGCCTTCGGCCTCTGCTGCACCTTCGTGCACCGCGCTCGCAGCCGCTACGAGCACATCCCCGGGCCGCCGCGGCCCAGGTGAGCGGGGCTGGGGGCGGGGCCTGGCTGGGGCACTGGAACTGGGGACCGGGGGACCGCGTCTAATCCGGCGTCCAGGCCGGGGGTCCGGCCTCGCCTTGTGCGCGCGGCCGCTGCGAGACGGCGGCCCGGAGAGGGGCGCTAACTATTCTTAGTAACAAATTACTCACAGCCGCAGCAGCTGCTGGGCGCCCACCGCGCACAGCTGGGCCCCACAAACGTGATGTCAGCGACAGCCCTCTCAGGTAGGCGCTATTGTTACCCCATCGTTCAGACGAGGAGACTGAGGCGCGCAGAGGCGAAGTCACCTGCCCAAGGTCACACGGTTGGTAAGCCTAGATTTAAGCCCAGGTCAGCCTGCCTCCAAAGTGGGCGCTGTTAACTTTGAGACTTGGACAGGGTCAGCCTGGATTGGAGCACGCTGTACTTCAGTCATGTTTCCTTTTGTTTGTATTTCTGTTCTGGGACACCCCATTTGTCTTCTCCTTAGTACTTACAATTCCATTCTTGGTCCCCACCCCCACGCAACTTACACCCCCCGCAACTTGCCACCCCCCCCCAAGCTTAGCTTTGTGAAGCTTAAATTAAATGTGTCATTTCCCTGCTCCAAGGGCTTCCCATCACTTGACAACTAAATGCAGTTCTAAATTAAGTCGGCTGCGTGGCCCGCGAGGCCCCTGCCGAGCTCTCCGAACCCACTCTCCTCCTTGCTCTTCCCTCTTGCTTTCTCACTACTGCCCCCAGCCTTTCTCCTCCCAACCCCCCCTTCCCCCGCCGCAGCTTCCCTCCCCCAGGGTCCTTTTCTCAAGCCTGGGCCTGGCGGGCTTCTTCCTCTGCTCCTCTCAAACAGGCCTCGCCGAGCACCTTGTGTAAAGACCACCCAGCCCCAGACTTCTCAGGGGCCATCACCTCTGAAGTTACCTTCTTTCCACCTGTTGACTGTCTGTTCACTTGTTGACTGTCTGTCTCCCACTCTAGAATGTGAGCCCCGGGAGGACAGGGACACTCGGTGTTCGCTTGTGTATCCCCAGTGCCTGGCATGTTACAGAAGCTCAATAAATATTTGTTGAATGAATTAATAAACAATGGTATTAGACACACTTTTTAAAATCTCAGGACATGAACGTTCTGGAAGGCACCCTTCTCCAGCACAAGCCAGATGTATTGGCATTAGAAGCCTGAATCTCTGCTTGATGGGTTCAGGAAAGATCTCTGTGGCTGGTGACATAGGGAGACAACTGTTCTCCCTGCTGGCTCTTTGCCCTTCTGGTGCTTTCTCTCTTCTTGCTTAGCTCCTCTGCCTTCTACTTTACCTGGATGGTTCTTCCCCCCAGCCTTCCAGGTTTGGCTTCAATGCTAACTCCGCAGGGAGGTTCCTCCTGCTCCCCCCAAAATATTATGTTCATTTTATAAACCGTGAAGTCACTGTAATTTTCCTTTACAGCATAATGTTAATTGGGTAATTATTTGTGCAAGCTCTTGTTAAGTGTCTGTCTTTTCCATGGGCCCCTGTCTGTCTCAGTCACTACTGCGTCCCCGACATGTAGCAGCACACAGTACATGCATAGTAGACACTTGATCAATAGCGATTCAAGGTTGAATGGTGGAAATTTCCCATAAGTTCTGTGATGTACACTATCACCCTCTCAAGTTTTCAGATCAGCCATCAGCACTTAGAATTGAATGAGTTTGGTGCTTATTCTGATAAGTTTCATCGTTACTTGGTCTTATAAACTCAGATGACCTGTTCTGGTCTCTGTGTCTTGAGAAAGCAGAACTTAAATCATCTTTTAAAAATTGAAATGTAACTTGCATTCCATAAAATTTATTCTTAAATGTATGATTCAGTGGTTTTTAGTATATTCACAGCACTGTGCAGCCATCGCCATCAATTTCAGAACTGTTTTGTCACCCCAGAAAGAAACCCTGTACCCATTAGGCATCACTCCTCATTTTCCCCCACCCCTCACAGCCCTACAATCATTAATCTGCTTTCTATCTCTATGGATTTGCCTATTCAGGACATTTCATATAAATGGAATCACACAATATGTGGCCTTTTGTGTCTGGCATCTTTCACTTAGTATAATGTTTCAGAAGTTCATTCATGTGGTAGCATGTGTCCTTACTGCTTTCCTTTTTATGGCTAAATTCTTCCCAAATCTTATACCACAAAGCCTACATGTGACCTGAGTGTGTGGGGTGCGGAGGGAGGAGTGGGAGGAAGATGAATATAATCATGATTGGGCTCTGTATTGTAAAGAGGTGAACTGAACAATGCATATATAAAAAGATTTTGGATTAAAAATTGGTTAGTGGTCAAATATAAAACTGCACTAAATGAAAGTTCTGGAACCTCTTCTAGCAGAAACTCGATGCCTTGGCATTAAAAGGCTGGATCTTTAAACTATGGTTGGCGACACTGTGGTTGACTAGAGATCTGTGTGTTGAGTCCCCAGTAGTGGCATTTGTGCCTGGGAACCCTATGACTTTGCCAGCTGGCAGGCAAGGATCCCTCTCGCTGCAAGAGGCAACTCTTCATCCTCCTCATTCTGCAGGAGGCCCTCCTTGAGTGCTCCTCCTCTGTGCTTTTCTTACCACATCCTACTGCATGGATCCGTGTAACAGCTGAAAACTCAGACCCCCCACACTCAGATCCCACACAAACACTTGTAGCTTCTTTATTTCTCTGTCACTGTTCTAACTTTCCTCATCAGTCCCTACTCTCCTGGTAATGTGGGAGTGGATGTAAACTTGACAATGAAAGGCCTCTCTCTCCCAATTTTTATTTATTTGGGGATAAATTGACTCCTGGACAGTGCTGGTTCTACTCCTACTTGCCCAGTTGCTGGGGTGAGGCTGTTCAACAAGGAGCAGGGTGGCCAGCCATGGGGGAGCCCCACAGCTGGCTCTGGCAGGTGCTGCATCTGATGGGCTTTGGGTGCCCATCTGAGCACTAACCACCCTGCCCCTCTGGCATGAGCCACAATCATGGCCCCTCACCCTCACACTCCTCCACTACTGCAGCATTCCCTTCATCCCTCTGGGTGACTTCACCGTGGGCTCTCCAGATGGCCTCTGCTCTTTTCACTGGCCAAGGCTTTCTCTGCCCACAGGAGAGCTTGGGTCCCCACTCAGCCAATCGTGGTGTTGCTGGAAACTGGATGTGCTGGAGAGGTGTTGGGGGGCAGGTGGTGGGGGGTTGCCTCCTCTCTCCCAGGGCTGCTCTGCCATGTCCAGTCTATCACCAGGGACATGCCAAGTGGGCTTCTGCCTGCCAAGATGCTGAGCAACAAGTCCCCATGTCTGGCCATGGTGTCAGCCTTACCTGCTTGTTTCTAACACCTGGGTCTTCCTGCTCTGTTGTTGCCTCCCCAGCGCCCCCTGCAGGTGTTAGAAGGAATGGGTTTTTGTTCCTTTTCTTGCTGGGCCATGGGGACCCCACCCCTCTCTGTGCCCTCTGTCTTCCTGAGATGGCACTCACCTTCCTTCCCATGTGGCACGGAACCCCAGGGGTTGGGGTGGAAGCTCTGGGCTCAGACTCTGTCCTCACTTAAGTAACTAAAAACTGAGAACATTCCCCCAGAATGTGAGCTTTGGGAAGTGAGAGCGAGGACACTAGATTACTCTGGAAATACATCCAGGCATGTGTGATGTCCACAGCCCATCTTCCGGTAAGTTCAAGGCCACTCACCTGGCGTGAGCCTCCACTGCAGGCAGCCAGTCAGCCACCCTGCACTTCCTTCCCCAGGGCGTTTATTCGCCTACTCTCCCTTCCTGCTTCAGTCCCCATCACCTCCCCCTCCATCCGCACTCTCAGCTTTTATTCTTGCCTCCTACTTCCCTGAGCAAAGGGAGCAGCCGGTGAGTTTTCTTCCTGGGCTCCACTGAGCAGCTGCCCACCTCCCGCCCCAGGCCCACGCGTACCTTCCAGCTGTTCCGGGAGGGTAGCCCAGGCCAACCTGCCCCCTCTGCTCAGCAACCCTGTCCCAGGAGCACCCCCCTCCGCCCCCCCCCCACCATCAGCGCTCTTCCTCCTCTTCTACATCATCCCCATTTTTATATAATATGCAAAAATTCAAAGCTTGGAACAAAACCCTTTCCTTCACCCTCACGTTCCCCTGCAGCTGCCGCCCCCTATGGTAACCCACCTGGCTGACTGCCTGTCTTTGGGCCTCTCCTTTCTCCCCTCTGGTTCTTTCTGCCCCATACCTCTCCACCAAACTTGCTGGGGGCCAGGTTCCCGGTGATCTCCATGTTGTTGAACCCAGCCATCAGCCCTGGATCCTCGTCTGACCTGGCCCCCAGCAGCCTGGGCAGAGCCAATTTCCCCTCCGCCTTGTCCCGCATCCTCCCCTGGCTTCTCACCCACTCTCCTGGCTCTCCTCCCTCCTCCCTAGCGCTCCCACTCAGGGCACTTGGCTGGCTGTCCCTATGCTCCCAACCTCTCAGTGATGGCTCAGTTCTTGGTCCTCTTCTCTGTCTGCATCCATTCCCTTGTGGCCTCATCCAGTCACTGGGCTGGAAATGCCACTTTTCTGCTGTGGGC